TCGTAAGCCTCAGGGTGGCTGTGACTGATCAAGTTCTCATCCAGTGAAAGGGGAAGCCAGGTCGGGTACAGAGGACTTGCACTTTTTACCTTACACACTTCCAGATCATTGGAACCTCTGAACGTGAACATATAGATTCGCAGAAAGCTAAGAAGGCTGTTTTCTAATCACCACTGACTTTGGCAGTTCTCTCGGGAACTATCACGCTGAACAGGTGTCCAGGTGAAACCTTATTTGGAAAGCCATTCCCTGTGTGACAGTCTCACAGAAGTCTATGACGTGTTGGCAGATTTCCTAAACCCCTAACAAAAGATCAGAGCCAAAGTCGGAGGCTGGTGCTTTCTGGAATAGCTATCTGTAGACTGAGGCTTGTTTTTCCCCGAAGCCTGGACACCTGTCCCAGTAGGATCCCCCCCCCCATTCCACTTTGTCCAGCAATTAGGGGAACTTAGCTACAGAGAGTCTGGGTCCTAGACTTGACCAGCGCACGCCACAAACCCTAAGTGGTTTTTCAGAGAACCTCCTCTCCCAGAAGAGAGAAAGCTCGGTTCTAGCCGGCAAGGAGGAAAGGCTGAGAAGGGAATCCATGAGGTGGTGGGAAGAAAGGGGTCAGACGGCCCTCAGTGCTGTCACCACCAGGGAGTCAAATCCAGACACAACAGGCCTTCCAGGAGAGAAGTACTTCACCACGGATTGGAAGAGAGAAGTCTATTAAGTGTCATTAAAGAAAGAAAAAAAGAAAGCACATGACTCTAAGGATAGAAACCCTAAAAGTCGTTTTGTTGTTGGTTGGGGGTTTGGGGTTGGTTGGTTCTGTTTTGGGCCGTACTCTAACAAGTTTGAAGGAAAAACAAAATAACAGAGAAAATCTGACAACAGGCCGCCAGTTCCAGGCAAGAGAGTAGAGCAGAATGAGGAAGCGAGTCAAAAACGGGAAGAAAGACAACTCGGAACTCTGATTTGGAAATGTCCACGCACTGGTGGTCAGTGCCTGGGAGAAGGAGAAAGAGGTGAATTCACACAGCGCGCCTGTCCCAGGCAGGGCGGAGGGGAGATCGAGAAGAGCCCACCGTACCCGGGAAGGGGCCCGGGAACACTCAGGGCAGTCGCTGGGCCCTGGGCATGTGCCCAGCCTGGGCTGTTTAGACCTATGTGAGCCACTGAGAAAAGTCTGGGGGTGGCTCTGTGTGGGCAGTGGGCTGTAGGCAGCAGGTGTTCAGAACAACGGAAAGGGAGAAAGAAGGCCCTGGTCTGGGTTCAACGTGCCCATGTTGGCGTCCTGGTCGCGGCATTTAGCATCTGTGTGGTCGCAGATGATTACTGCCCTCAGCCTCAGTGTCCTGGGAGGCCAAATGGGCCCGTCCTATCTATCTTCAGGTTGCTGTGAAGACCAATTAGGTTAATAAGAGGGAAAAAAAGTACTTGATAAAGGGAAACTTTTTAAAAAGTTTTGTTTCTAAATGTGTGTCCAAGGAAAGTGACAGAATACCATAGTGTCAGACAGGGGCCTGCATCTGTGACCAGCAAGACAAAGAGAGTCCTGTGACAGCTCTTCAAATCAATGGCACCTACAACACAGACAGTCTGGCCCTTCGCAGGACATGTTTCCAGACCCCTGGGAAATGTGGTACCAGAGCCTCCTGTTCTTCATTAGTTCTTCACGCCCGTCCTATGTTAGACAAGATGTCCTGTAGGAAAGCCCTGGGGACTTTTCTGCTAGATCCAAATGGCCTCTCAGAGGAGAGACAACCCCCCCCACACACCAGATGAGAAGAGCCACTGGAGACCTCACACCTAAGCAGGGCCAAGGCCTGTTCTAGGCCAGGGAGGAGGGTGGAGCACTTGGACTTCACCTGTCCCCTTTCTGAGTTCTTGGGTCCCAGAGAGGAAAAGGCCCTCTGGAGGTGATGGTCTCACAATAAAAACCCTATTGCCCCATCCCAAATTTCCATAAACTGAAAGAAACAGAAGTGTCCAGAGAGAGACAGGTGTGGGTACACAGGGCCTCGTCCAAACCCTAGGTGCCAGAGGGGGCCCTCGGGAACGGTGCAAGGAAATGGCGGGCTCCTAAGAACAGCGTCAGGAAGTCATCCTCAGGAAAGAGATCGGTGGCCAGATGCTGCGGTGCTCGCCTGTCATCTCAGTGGCACTGGAGGCTGAGGCAGGAGGATTGCAAATTCAAAGTCAGCCTCATCAACTTAGTGACACCCAAGACAACTTAGTGAGACCCTGTCTCAAAACATAAAAGGGCTGGGGATATGGCTCAGGGGTGAAGCACCCCTAGGTTCAATCCCTGGTACCAAAAAAACAAAAAGAATGAGACGGGCAGAGAAATGGTGCAGCAGCCATCACTCAGCTCCGTTCTAAGCAAGGAGACAGAGAAGCTGACGTCCCTCCCGGCACAGGGACAACATAAGAACAAAGCCATGATTGTTTTGCTTGTCTTCTTCTTTAAAATGGTAACAAACCAATGGGGTGACCGACCTCGACGACAGGCTGGGAAGCCCAGGCTCAGACCTAAGATGGCATGAGGCAGCGCCACACCTCCTGTCTTGGAGGACCAGCTTGCCCAGGGAGAGGGGCACTTGAGCTGAGAGGAGGTCGAGTGAGTCAAGGGCTGAAATTTTCCCCCAAAACTGGAATGCCCCCCATGACTGGCTTTGCCAGCTCCCACTTCTGCTCGTTCCACGTCCTGGGGTTCATGTTGTCACCGACGTCCGTGGGACTCTCCACTTCCCCTCCTGTTCTATAGTGAGATGTTCTATACTCACTGGGGACCGGAAGGAAGTGTGACCTGAGCTGCCTCCTTGGAGAGACGAGCTTTGATACAGGGTTGTGCAAGTCGCCTACATGACATGGCAAGAGATTTCACTTCCTGAGATGGGCATGGAAGGAGAAGGTTTGGGGTCCCGACCACGGGGCCAGGATGAGACATGGCGGAACCATGGAGACGGTGACATCAAAGGATGTTACCCCAGGGCTCCAAAACTTCCCTGGAGCAGAAAGAATCAGGCACAGCTTCAACCACATTGTGACGTTACACAAATCACTTCACAGCTCTTGGCCTTGGTTTCTGCACCTGCTGCCCATGCTCAGATAGCAATCTGCCCCCCACACACACCGGGCCCCCACCAGATCCCACTGCACAGCCATTAAGGCTCCTTCCAGCCGGCAGGGTCGGAGCTTCTGGAACGTTGCAATAGAAGGTGGTGGAAGCGTAAGGAGCTGAAGCTTCCCAACCGGCAGCCCAGGCCCCAGGAGGAAGGGACCAACTCAGAGCAGATGTGCGGGCACCTTGCAGGCCTGCCTTCCTGCCACTGGCCCTCTTCCTCCTTGCTTGCCCTGAATGAGCAGAGCAAGGGCATCTCTGTTCTCAGTCAGGGCAACCCCCACTGCCACCAGATCACTAGGCTCTGCTGGTCATTGTACAAAGCCCTCCAGAGAAGTGACTGCCCCTCCAATTGGATCTGGACAACAGTGGTTCATTTACAGGGAGATACTGGGGCAAGACAGGAGTCACCCGGGCCAGCCAGGCAGGGATCCTAGAGTGTCCACAGGACAAGACACCGAATTTTATCAGGGTTCACTGTTGAGAACTGCATATCGTTTTCCAAACTCACAAGACCCCCGACGCAGCAGATGGCTTTTAGATTTCCAACAGAACTCATGAATTTCCAAAGGTGGGAATCTTCTGTCTGCCTTCCTGACATCAAGGTACTGGGATCCAAGCAGGAATAAGAAGGCTGCTTAGTAAGCAAGCCACCCTCACCCCACAGTAGAGCCTTGTGCTTCCAATATGCTCACCTGTCCGTCAGGGGCTGACTCCCTTGGATAAGGCAGGGTTGGCTGAGTGTCCTGCACATAGTAGGCACACGCTTATTTGAATGAAGACACTGTGAAATTTCTGCTCACCCTTCAGGCAGCAAACCCTGACTGTGCCCATTCCCGTGCCAGGCATTCACCGGCTCTAAAAGACCTCACAGCCTCCTGGGAACCGTGGTGACAAGGTTCCACTTTTGAGGCTGTAATGATGCTCTAACATCAGTGTCCCAGACTCCAAGCACCATTTGAAACCTGGGTCCTCATTCATTCCACCACCTCATTCATTCCACCCCGGGGCAGTACCCTGCGACAGGCACGCTGCTGTCGGGTTCAACAGTCTGGTAATGCTTGGTGTTCACCAGAGGTATAGCATAGTCTCTTCTGGATATTCTCTGGAAACAAGCGCTCACCAAAAAGTTATTTTAGGCAGAGAACATCTCTTCTACATTTTAAAAAGTCTCTGTGATCCTGGACAATTGATTGATTCAATAAACCCCTTTCCCAATACAACATAATATGGGGTCATTTCATTGATCACCCAGCACTGATGTGTTTTCGATATGAAATTGCTGGGGTACCAGCACCTGGCATCTCGGGGTGGCATGAGTTTGTCTCTGGGGTGTACCTGACCTGCTCAGGAGCCTGCACCCCTGAACATTGTATGTCCCCTGCTCCATTCAAGGGAGGCCAGTGTCTCCCCAGAGACCCTCAGGACTGAGTAGAGAGCAGCACCCTCAATCCCGACAGGGAGAGCGAGTGCCCCTTCATTATATCATCCAACCATTCCCAAGGGGAAAGGTTCCCAACCTAAGTACAAGGAAGTGGGGGGTGGGTTATTTGTGCACATTCATCTGCATGTCCTGCACGTTGTTCCAAAGACCCTAAATCAGCACACTCTTCTAACCCAGGAAAATCCAGTATTCTAGTATTGACATCATAGGCACCGGGGTCATAAGGAAAATGGTGCTGATTTGCATGATGACCCATTTGTGAAATGTGTCATAGCTTGCTATCCCTGGCACTGCCACAGATTAGGGATAATTTCAGCATACCAGCCCCTTTCCCCGAAAAACTCCAGCCAATCCTCTTCCCCCCGCCCCATGCCTTTGACTTGGTTGTGAAATCATTTAACCAGAGGGAAAATTTCTCAGCTCTTCACTTCTGCTTTTGAAGGGCTATAAAAGAGTGCGGGAGAAATCAACCAGCACAGAGCAGAGTTCTTTGTGCTCCACAGCGCAGCAGGCGTACCTGGGATTCTCTCCTACCAGTCTTTGTTGTTCAGGTATGGCCTCAAGTCCCGCTAATGCTTAGAACCTAAGGGGGGGTCTCTCTGTCTGTCTGTCTCTCTCTCTCTCTCTGTCTCTCTCTCTGTCTCTCTCTCTGTCTCTCTGTCTCTCTCTGTCTCTCTCTCTCCTCTCTCTCTCTCTCTCTGTCTCTCTCTCTGTCTCTCTCTCTCTCCCCCCCCTTCCTCCTCTCCTACATTCCCTCACTATCCTCCTCTCTGCCTGAAGATTGGGCTTTTTGCAAAAAAAAAAAAGCTAGCTCTACTGTAAAGTAGCTGTTCTGGGACTGCCTACTGCTTACCCAGCAGTTCACATCTGAGAGGTCAATGGAGGGACCATGCACCCGGTCTCCTGGTTTGGATTTGATTCAGCAAGTGCTTTCCTCTAGACCCCAGGACGGCTCTTTCCAAGGGCATTCCTTTGCAGGCCTGGCTGTACTGGATGCTGAGGGAAACTCACATGAAAGTGGCCCTGGGGGGACCGGCCCTGCAGTGACCACTCATTTCCTGCTCTTCTCACAGGTCTCAAAGGCAGCCATGGCAGCAGTACCCGAACTGGCCAGTGAGATGATGGCTTACCACAGGTGAGTGTGGACACCGAGTAGTCTGAACAGGGCTCCCCTCTCATGAGTGAAGGTTGTCTATGCTTAGAGACCAGATGTGTCCCCAAATCTCCTCGTTAGGTAGCAAACAAGCTAACCTAACTTCCCACCCCATCCAGCCTTGGGACCCTGATGCCAGCCACCCTTGCTGTTGCAGCGGCTTCCCACAGAGGCAGATGGGAAGAGGGCATTCCCTGTGGACATGCCAGGGGCCCTTTGCAAGTTTGGCTTGCATGGGAGGGGCTCTGATTTTAGCTGACTCTTCTGGGCGAGAGTTTAGGTCTCGGGACCCAATCAGGCGTTCTCAGGATGCCTAGCTGCATGGCCCAGAACCTGCCCTCTAGACTGTCCATGCACATCGCCATGGAACTCTCCAGAAGTCTCCAGGCAGCCTTGAGGAACAGGCTGTTCACAATTTTATTAGTGCAAGGCTTGTGTGCATAAAAGGAAAGACATCCCTGAGCCACGTCTATCTTTATTGCAGTGACGAGAACGAGCTGTTCTTTGAGGTGGACGGCCCCAAACACATGAAGGTGAGACTCTGGGCTTCGCTCCTGGTGTGTGGAGGGGCTCAAAGAAACGGGCTCTGGGCTGCCTCACCCCCCAGGTGTTTCGAAATGGGCTGACTTTTGCCTCTTCCAGTAAGATAGACACTGGCTGCACCCCACGATCCCACAGTCTCCCCATAAGGCCTTGCATTGCTGGGCAGCTGCTTCACCCAAGGAAGACAGCCAAGTCTTCAAGGAGATCTGGTCTGCCTTTTGTTTATTATTAGTTTTTTGTTTTGTTTTTTTTTTGGCAGAGAGGATTGAATCCAAAGGTGCTTTACTACTGAGCCACATCCCCACCCCTTTTTATTTTTTACTTGGAGAGAGAGCCTCACTAAATTGCTGAGACTGGCCTCAAACCTGCCATCCTCCTGCCTCAGCCTCCCAAGTTGCAGGGAATACGGGCGTGTGCCACCATGCCTGGCTTGGTCTTCCTCTCAGGAGATGGATTCAGTCTACTTTAATCACTTGAGCCAAACTCTGCCACCCAGAGAGAGTGGCCTTGGGAACTAACCCATGCCTGCCCCTTTTTCCTCCCTGGGATGGAACTTAGGTCAGGAAGACATAGACGGTATCAAAAAAAAAGATGGTCTGGGAGCCAAAGCTCCCAGTTTTTGTTAGAAGTGCTGTTTGATCTTGGACCAGACACCCTCCCACTTTGGACCTCATCTGCAAACAGATCTTCTCTGCCACCCGGGCATCCTGGAGCCCCGAGGTCTGGGCATCTTCAGTTGGGAGCTAAGTTCACCCCAGCAAAGGGGCCTTCTTCAGGCTCACACCAAGGTCTAGCTGTCTCTTCTCGGTTGTGTGACGCCTGATAAGTTTCCCAGGTGGCGCAGCCGTCTCTCCCACCCCACCCCTCAGTTCAGGCCAGCTTCCCCCAGCCTCGTAATCCCGGAACTTCTCGCTGCTCAGCTTGGCTGTCCTCTGTGCTGTTGGGTCTCTGTCACTGTCCTTCAAACTCCAGAACCAAACCAAGCCTCGGGGCAACTCCAGCCAGGCCTGAACGCAGCAGGGAAGTGGTCACATACTCCACAAATAGCCACCATTCTTACAGTGTTGGCAGAAAGCCTGAGAAGAAGGATCTGTGTAGAAAAATCCAGAACTCGTTGAGTGAGCCAAGATCAACAGAAAAAGTCATGATCGTTATTGTTCCAAAAATTTTAATGGCAGTGTTGGAGCATTAGGGATAGGAAAAGATAGGAAGGGTGAGAGGGTGTATGGAGAGGTGGGGCGTGTACCGGAGAGGTGAAATCAAATTGGCCTCTATTTTAAGAGAATAGCATGTAGGATGTCAGGAGGCCCTCATTCTCCTTGCTGTGTGTCCTTGGGAAAGCCACTTACCCTCTCTGGGCTTCACAGACCTAGCAACTAGCAGTAGAAGCTTGGTAATCTCTGAGGCCCCTTCCTGCTCTCTGGGGTCCATGCAGGAGTCCACCAGCATGACCATCTTAACCTGCTCATTGCCTCGGTTTCCCCACAGTGCAACTGGCAGGACCTTTACCTCGGCTCCGTGGATGAGGGCATCCAGCTGCAAATCTCCCAGCTGCACCTCAACAAGAGCTTGCAGCAGGTGGTGTCACTCGTCGTGGCCGTGGAGAAGCTGCGGATCCTTCCGGGCGCACAGGCCCCCCGGGGGGAGGACCTGCACTCCTGCCTTTCCCTCATCTTTGAAGAAGGTACTTACTGAGATCCTCCCTCGGGCTCTTCTCAGCCCCTCACTCAGCCCCCAAGTCCCCTCCCCAGCTCAAGCCTTTAAAGGTAGAAAACAAGCCCAGAAACCAAGCCAGTGCTGCCTTTGGCCAAAGCCCCTCTTCCAAGGAGACCGTGGTGTGAACCCACCTTGCGGCTCACCTCCCAGAGCGCGGTGAGCCTGAAGCCCACCCACTCGGCCGGGCTCCTGCTGTGACCTGAGTAATGACATTTCACACAAGTGTCCCATCACTAGTCCTCAGTGAGGGACAGTGGCCCTGAGCCATGGCTCTGGTGCCAGGGCCAGCGTCCTTGCCACCCCACTCCCCACTTCCTCCCTCCTGGGTCACAGCTGGAGGTTGAGGCCATGTGCCTGTGTCCTCTGAGGGGCCCAGCCCTGCTGCCCACGTCCCCCTGCTGGCTCTGCCTTGACGATGTGTGTCTCCTGATTCTAGAGCCCATCTTCTGTGACTCCTGGGATGACGACGGGTACGAGTATGACGCGGCCGTCCCGGTGCTGAACTGCCGGCTGCGTGACGTCCAGCAGAAGAGCCTGGTGCTGTCCGACCCGTGCGAGCTCAAAGCTCTGCACCTCAATGGACCGAATCTGAGGCAACAAGGTAGCTGGGGGCACCCTGGCATCCCCTCCCGCCTGCAGGCCGCTTGCCAGGGCTCCCCAGAGCAACAGGACTGGGAAGGGACGTCCACCACAGCACTGACCCTGGGCCCAACCACGAGGCCAGCTGGAAAGCATCCGCATGCGCGTTTGCTGGTGGGAGGGTGACCAGTCTGCTCCAGCAGTCCTAGGGCCACTGTCCCCAAGCCCCACGGGAGGGTGCAGTGACAACGCTCCCATGGTGCAGGGTCATTTGATGGACAGGCGCTAATGGCTGCGGGTTCCCTTTCCTGCTGTGGAGACTGAAGCTGGAATATCAGGGAGACAGCCCGCCCTTCCGGGGCCTGGCGCTGCCCTGCACCCCCTGCTTCCCTCCCACCCCCACCACACGGGTCCTGATAGGGAAATTTACCAGCCAGGGAGCATTATCTCTCCTGGCCTCTTTTTGTGTGTGTGTGGTACCAGGAAATGAACCCGGGGGCACTTAATCCCTGAGCCACATCCCCAGCCCTTTTTATATTTTATTTAGAGACAGAGTCTCGCTGAGTTGCTTAGGGCCTCACTAAGTTGCTGAGGCTGGCTTTGAACTCATGATCCTCCTGCCTCAGCCTCCCGAGCTGCTGGGATGACAGGTGTCCACCACTGCCTTCCCTGTCCTTTTGTAGTGATCAGATTGTTCTACTCTTGAGGATGGGCACACAGTGGCCAGTGACGAGATCAGTCCCTGCCGTCCTTCAGCGTTTAGACCTTAGTGTCCATTTCAAGGTCCCCCTTAGTCCCCATTTCAAGAGGCTTCGTGAACCTGTCGGGCCTTCTCTGGGGAATCCCAGAACCAGACCCCCGACCCTGCTGTTGTGCAGATCAGCGGTTCCCACCGGGCGAGCTAACTCGTGCGGGTCCCGGGTTTGGAGGGCAGTGCTTAGGCCCACCCTGCAAGGCGTGGCCTGACCAGAGACCCCGCTCTTGTCCCCAGTGGTGTTCTCCATGAGCTTTGTGCTGGGAGAAGGGAATGACAGCAAGACACCCGTGGCCTTGGGCATCAAGGGGAAGAACCTGTACCTGACCTGTGTGATGAAGGGGGACAAGCCCACCCTGCAGCTGGAGGTGAGTCAAGACCAGGGGAGGCCCTTCAGCACCCCGGGGTAGGCATGGCTGCCCCCTGCTTCCCAGGACACCACCTGCCTCCCACCCTCACCCCCTAAAAATCTGGGAGCTGGGATGCTTGACAACTTTACATAAATGTCAAATAAATTCAATGTGATTTTTAACGCACGCAAACATCACTACCCCGGCAGAAAATTAAATCTTGTCACTCGCTGCCGGCCTCATGCCCAGCCATTGTCACCGTGCCAACAGATCAGACCCTGTTAAGACTAGGTGCATTGTACACCGGGAGGGTCTCTCCATTTCCGGGATGACACTTTGGGGGAACTCATCAACTGAAGGGACCTGTCATCAATCTCCACTTCCAAGATCACCCCCCACACGCACACCTGCAGCTTTTCCAGCAAAAGCTTCATTTCCAAGTTGATGTCATTTCTAGCCAGGATCCTTAAAAAATAAATAACTGCAAAAGTACCTAGAAACTACTTACTCCTAGAAGCTTTGACCTAAGTTTTACTTTAAAAAAAAAAAATCCACACCTCCATGATGTTCCCCAGCAATGATCCTAAGAATTCAAGGAAGACCAAAGGCTCCTTCAGTGGCTACACAGAAAGCTGGGGTCCCAAAGACAACTCAGGAGTGTGGCTCCAGGTCCTGTACCTGCTCATTGAGTGTCCCATCTGGTCCGTCCCAAAGTCTCCTCCCCCACAGTGTCTCTGTCCCATCCCCTCACCAAGAGGTTTGTTTCTATTTTGCTGCAGAGTGTAGACCCCAAAAGTTACCCCAAGAAGAGGATGGAGCCGAGGTTCGTGTTCAACAAGATAGAGGTCAAAGACAAGGTGGAGTTTGAGTCTGCTCAGTTCCCCAACTGGTACATCAGCACCTCCCAGGCGGAGCACCTGCCCGTCTTCCTGGGGAACAACAGCGGCCAGGATATAACAGACTTCACCATGGAATTCGTGTCCTAAGGAGCCTCACCGGTGGCCCACGGCAGCGAATGTAGCCTGCACGCAGAGGGCCGGCAGAGGAGGGCAGGAGGGCTTTGAGCGTGGCTGAAGGCTGGACCGACACCCACCTGCGTCCCCAGGTGGGGACACATGCGCAGAGCTCTCTTGCCACCAGCCAGGAGATGGCTCTCTCCTCCCAGGGGCCATTTCGGAACCTCTGCTGACCTGGCCACCCCCCTCTCTTGCGTCCTCAACGCCAGCCAATGGGATCAGGCCACATTCTGTTCCAGGAAAACCTCTCCTCTGCTCCCAGCTTCTGATGAGCATCTGCTTACCCACTTATTTATGTATTTATTGATGGGTGGATCTATTTCATTCAAGGGGACCAAGCCTCCTCCTCAGTGCTTGTGGAATGGCTGTGATCAGGCCTGGTGCACAGGCTGCAGCTAGTCCTCCCCTTGGGGCTGAAAATAGATGTGCTCAGACTATGTGGTGGGGAATATTTATGGTTGAGAAAGTATAATCACACTGATTCAATGGTTCTGAAATAAATTTCGCTGAAAAAAAAAATTCTGCCCTGGTTGTCGACTTTTCTTAGATTTGACACAGAAAAGTAAAGATAAACGGGGCCATCAGAGTCCTCGTCAGGGGTCTGGAAGCCACTCCTCATTGCTGAGTGCTGCTGAGAACCTAGTACAGCCCTGGACACAAAAGCCAGCCTCCCGCCCACCCCCTTTCCTCCTGCTGTCCAACAGGAGGCTGTTGGGGACACAAGAGTCCCCTGGAAAGGGAGTCACTAAACATTACAGGCAGTCACAGCTGCAAGGACTCGTCCATCCATCTGCACACGAGACACTCAGCCCTAGGGCCTGAGGGACAGAGAAAAGCAAGGGCAGGTGGCAGAGGCAGAGGGCACCTTCAGGTGACCTGAAGTAGAGGAGGGGTGTCCCGACCGGCAGGACACATCAACCTAGATGGGGAGGAATGAAGAGGCAAGAGACACAGAAGGATGACAGCAAGACAGGAATTCTGATCAAGCTGCAAACTTTTATTGTTCACACAGGGGTATTTATATGCTGGGGATGGGGAAGCTCTCTAATCAACAATTGCTGGATGTGGGTGGTAAAACTGCTGATGATCCTGATAACCGCAGGATGTTCCAGGGAGATAGGTAGCTGCAGGATGTCTCCCAGGGGGCTGTCAGGCTATTCTTTGAAGGAGAATTTCCTTCTAGCCCCTGACAGTGGGGTAGGATTTGAAAAGAGCAGCCAGGAAGGCGTCCCCAGACCTGGTAGGGGGACCAGGCATCGAGGAGGGTGGCATGCCAGTCCCGCCCAATGGGACAAGCGCAAGCTCCCTGCTAGGAAGTTAAAGGACCCTGCAGGTGAGGGGCCAGCATGAGCCACAGTGTGGGGTAGGACAGCCAGTGACGCAGGACACTGACTCGGGATCACAGAAGCCACCAGAAGAAAAGTCAAAGCCTGAAACAAACCAGGGAAAAATACTTGTGACTGATATCCCAGACAAGGGACGATTTAGAGAACATACACGGGCTCCCTCGGGAACAGAAATCAACAAGATAGCAGACCAAGGACAGTAAGAGGCCGTTTCAACAGAGGAGCCACCTGCAGATCCTCAGAAGAGGGAGAGGGGCTCAACATTAACCATGAGCAAAAGAAGACAAAAGGTCCGTCTAAGAGCGCTCTCAGACACCAGCCAAGAAGTCCAGAGGACAGCGTGTCCTGCTCGTGAAACTGGGTGAACGCCCAGCGTCCAACACGACAGCGTGGCAACAGAAGGCACTGCCACCTCCGTGGAGGAAATGTGATAATACCCAGGAAAATCCACAAGTGCATTTCCCTTGAGACTCAGCAGTTTCACTTCTGAAAAGGGACACATGGTCCAAAATCTTCATGTCACATCATTTGTAATAACAAAAATAGGAAATAACCCAGGTGTCTGTCAATAGGAAATGGGTTCAATGATTATGGAGCGTGGAATACTATGCAACTATAAAAAAGAAGGGAGAAAGAACTCTGTGCGGAAACCTCTCCAAGGCATACTGGTGACAAAGAAAAAAAGAGCAGGATGCAGACAGTGTGCAAGGTGTGCTGACTTCCGGACATCAAAAGGCAGAGGTGGGGAAGGAAACACACTGCATTGTGCTCGTATTTGATCTGAAATTTTCTAGAGGATACATAAGAAATGAAGTCAAGGATGTTGTTCATAAATATTGAACAAAATCAACTGGAAGCAACCTAAAGATCCAGTGTTGGGGAAATTAGAAAGGAGATGGTCCTGAAATGGAAAGGTATCCAGGCAACTCATCAAGAGGAAAGGACACGTTGTAAAATAAGTACAGAGGGACAGTATTTACATAAAAGGAAAGGCATTGCCTATCTGTGGTGCATAACTGTGTGGTCTGAGGGTATAGGGAGGCAGAGAGCTCTGGAGAGTACTGACAGAAAGGAACGGTTACTTGGGGTGGGGTAGGGCACGGGAGGGATCATCAAGAGGAATTGAAGCTTTATTTATAATGCTTTACAAATAAACTATAATTTATTTGTAATTTTTTACAGGAAAAACATATTTGTGAAATACACACAGGCACACGCACAAAAAAAAATTAAAAATACAGGTATTCATTAAATCTTCTGCATTAAAATGTAGAAAAGGCTTGGGTTCAATTCCTGGATAGGAGCCCAGGACTCAGTAGACCCTCCAAAGACTGTCCTGCTTGTGGTCGAAAGCCCAGTTCTCTCCCTAACAACTCTTGCTTTTCTCAGCACTAGGTGTCCATGGCCTGAACAGGCAAATGATCTGCTTCTAAAAGGAAAGGGCCGGAGAGCCAGAATCCTCCCGGAACTCAGCCATGTCCACCAAAGTGCAACGGCGAGGTTAGGAAGCCTTTGAGGAGCCAGAAAGGCAGCTTGTCTGCAGTCCTGGCAGGTAACGCACCACACCCCAAGGGCTCCCACCAGGAGCGGAAGCAGGGGCTTGCCACCTGTGTCACAGATGGTAACAGGTGGTCCCTAGGGGCAGGCAGTGGCTTCTCCTGGAGTCTTGGGCTGGCTAGAGGAAGATGCAGTGGCGTGTGGGAGCACACCTGGCCTGAAAGATAGACTGGGGAGCGGGCAGCTGCTCCAATACGCTGGCCAGACAGGGAGGGGGGCATCAGCGTGTCCTCTACACAGACCCTCCCCTCCATTCCCCATCCCCCAGGACAGCTTTGCTGGACACCCCCAAACATCTGGTTCAACTGGGGCCAGGGTGGCCTAGGGGACTGGGCACTGCCTACTGAGGGGTGAGTGACCACACCTCCTCTCCTCTGTTGAGCCATCTCCCCCATGGCCTGGGTCCTGGATTGCCAATGTGAAGGCAGGCTCAGGGGTAAGAGTCTTCTCCCTGAGAAGGCCGGAAGCACGCTTTCCTTGCGTGTATAAGCACAGCTCTTTGCTAACACAAATAATCTTGAGAATTCAAATCCCTTTCAGAAAGTAGGTCATAAAACACAGCACCTGGGCTGGGATCCCTGGGAAGGGCAGGGCTAGAGGGTGGGGTCATGCAAAGGTATGGAGGAAGTAAGGAGAGGCAGAGCAGAGGTCTCCTGTCTCTGGGAACGCTGCAACCTCAGGTCAATGCAGCTGCAGAGTCAGAGGGTCCAGGTGGGTCCTCCGGGCACTGAGGCAGAAGGTGTGTCTGGTCTGTGCCACTCCCGACCAGCCCCGAGCTCCTCCCAGGCAGTCTCAAAGAGTCAACCCTTCTCTTTGTCCATGACCTCACCTCCCCGACCTGCACCCAACCCCATCAACCCTCAGAGACAAAGAGGTTTGAAGATCTCCACCCACCTGCTGGGTGGGACCCAGGATCAGGCTGTGGGCAGAGGGAGCTGCCTCCAGCACCCGAACGCTGCAGATGGCCTAAAGAAGCATCCAGCCAGTAGGGGGCCACGTAGCTCCTGTGTAACGGGTAGATTCTGGTGAGACTTCGGAGCAGCTGGATGTCTGGGATCCAGATCATAGAGGAGCATCAAAGCATGCCACCACCTGGCTTTAAAATAAAGGCACTGGGGTCCTGAGCATTACCTGGAAAAGAAGTCAAGCATGAGGGTCCAGAGGACACTCCTCAGTAGCCGGAGAAGCAGGCGGGCTGAGCCCCGGCCTCCTGCCAGCCTTGGAGCTGGGACCCTTGTCCCAGGAAGTAGTGTCTTGTAGATGCACCATCTACTGAGGGCCCTAGGCCACACCGCAAGTCCAGTGTTCTCCCCAGGGCCCCTGCTATGTGCAGAGCATTGTTCTTTCAAAATTTTACACTCAGCATAAAAGAATTTGAAAACTGTGACCCTCCCACCTCACTCCACATATTTGTTTTTAGGTTTATATCTAAATTTTGTCATCAATATTTTAAAGAGCTAGTTACAAATGTTATCATTTCCAGAATATTCTAAGTACAATTGACCCTCCATAGCTACACGTTCTGGAAGTCATCCAACCACAGATGAAAAACATTTGATGAGGAAAAAAAGTGCACCTGTTCTAAATATGTACAGACTAATTTTTTGTCATTATTCCCTAAACAATAGGTGTAACAATGATTTTCATAGTATTTACATTGAAAGTAGTTTGTGTTTGTTTTTGTTTTGTACCAGGGATTGAACCCAGGGGCACTTAACCACTGAGCCACACCTCCAGCCCACTTTTACATTTTATTTAGAGACAGGGTCTCACTGAGTTGCTTGGGGCCTCAATAAGTTGCTGGGCTGGCTTTGAACTTTCGATCCTCCTGCCTCAGCCTCCTGAACCATTGGGGTTACAGGTGTGTGCCACTGCACCCAGCTCATTGTAAGTGGTTTACAAATTATTTAAACTATGTGAAGGACACACATAAGTTATTTGCTAATACCATGCCAATTTGCAGGAGGCACAGAAGGCCTGTGGATTTTTGTATTCTCAAGGTGTCCAGGAACCAACTCCTTCCACTACCAAAGGACAAACATATTACTGATTTTAAATAAAAATGTTCCATTACCTTTATAACTGTACCCCAGGAAATCCCAACCCTAAGGACTATTTCCTGTTGTCACCCATCTAAAAATTATACGAATTCGGAAAATTTACAACATTCTTTTTTTCCTTTGAATAGACGCTTCTAAACGTTTCTTTCATGAAATTTAATGCTAATGTAACATATTATACTTAAAGGCATTTTCCCAATCATCCTGTGATACTTCTTTACAACAACAACAAAATATGCATTCATTATTGTATTTTATGTAAGCACAGAATGTTAGCTTTTAAAAATTTCTTTAAACTGAGTTGCCATTATTATAATGATGGTTACTATGCAATTGATCAAAATAACAAATATATAGCAATTGTTGATTTTATTAACAATAGGTCTGAATGAGATAGGGCTTTTAAAATCATTTCCCACATTTATACATTACTCAGGTGCTGAGAAAACCTGTACGTGTAAATAGGAATGAAAGGAATTTTATTTGAGCTCTGTCACTTGATTCTTTGAAATCCTTTTGAATTACTGGCAAAAATCACCAAGTCACCTATCATCAA